ATAAATCTTTCCATTCTCCTCCGGATTCATCATAATCGTTGTTGATTACAGCACAGTAATAATTTGCCATTACAGTCATAAACCACAATTTTTCTTTGGCCATTCCTCAATCAACATGCATCTTCTTTGTTTCTATTTTTTTTCTTAGCACAGAAAGTGCTAACAGACAACATTCTAAGCATAGAAAGCTATGAGATAGACAAATTGTGCCCCTCAGGAAACTATCACTTTAAGTGCTGATTTTTTTTTAACCTTAATAAGTAATATTTGTTTATTTATGATATATCAATAGACAGTTTTTAAATTTCAAGTAAAATAAATTCTCAGTACCAAAATATCATGTTCATTCTCAGCTCTGCTAACTCTACTTTGTTTTTTTCTTTCTCTTCTTTTGTTCTTATCTTAAATAGTCAACATGCCGTGCTCATTCATATTAATACTACTTTTATCTCCTGAGTTGCTATGATTATTTTAGGAAATTTATTGATTATATACTATGTGCAAAGCACAGGTTAGCTATCCATATAGATGGGTGTTCAGAAGTCACTGGCTTTATGGGGAGTTGGTGAGTATTATCTTCTCTTCCCCCCCCTTCCCGTCCATTAGATTATGGGCACCTTGAGAGCAGAGACTATCTTTTTCCTTTCTTGTATTCCCAGTGCCTGGCGTATAGTTTGCCATAAATGTTTGACTGACTGCTTAAAGGACTCAAACCTCCTACAGTCATACCTTAAACCCTGTAATACATAAGTCTCTTCACCTGCTCTACCATGTGTATCTGTGTTCTCCATTCCTCACTAAAATTTCAAGAGCTTAGACAAATATCACATCTGTCTATGCATAGGTAGATGGAGCATTTAAATACTTACTATGTGCCAGGCACTGTGCTAAGATACAAATACAAGCAAATAAAACAAATACTCTTCTCAAGAAGTTTACATTCTAATGGGGAAAGATAGCACATTTAAGGGAGCTGGAAATTGGAAGTAGGAGGACCGTGGCAAGGAAACAGGTGAAGAGAAAGAATCCTGGAGGATATCCATGTATACCTGAGGTGAAGCAAGCCTCTTGTCCTTCCTAAAATGGTGGTCCCAAGGAGGGGACTCAGGAGACCAGAGTCTCAGGGTAGAGGTTCCTCAAGGGTGGCAAAGATATAGGTGAGAAAAAGAAATCTGGAGAGTACTGAAGTCGATCTGCGGAGATGTTCACTAGGACCCAGACCCAAGGATTGACAATCAGGTCCATCCCAGTTAGAGTGTTTCCCTCTTTTTTTAAAAAAAAAATGATGACCTTGATATTCATCAACAGATACTAACATTTGCATATACATAAAGGATACATTGAAAGAAGAAAGCGTATAAAAACATAAATCTACAGTGTACTTTTTTTTTTAGTATACGCCAAATATGACATGGTATTTAACATGATACTTCCCTTGTCTGTCTGTGTTCCTTCCTCTTTGTGCTGTCTCTTATGTGTTTTTTACTTTCTGCATTCATACCACAACCCAAGCACTCAGCCAGCCACCCCATCCCAACTGCTGAGGGAACTGAGTGTGTTTGCCATGTCTCCTTCATCATTTGTGATAACCATATCACATTTCAGCTGAGAGCTCTTTTATAGCTGGAGTCATTAATGATAGGGAACAGGAAATGACTGTTTACAGGTTGCAAACATTTGTCTTCCCAACAGGTTCCCAGCCTGAACAAAATGTTGCATTCTCTCTCTGGCCTTTTATCAATCTATCTATATGTCTGTCAGTCCTGCCCCTTAACACCTACTAGCTGGATGACCCTATGCCAATCATTTAATATCTCTGTGCTCTGAGCAACTACCGAAAGCTATAAATTGCTGGTCTGTATTAGTAAAGGACGTTTTCTTATCCGTGAGCTCCCTATATTCATAAAATCACAGGCCCAGTTTCCATCCTTTCCCTTCCTTATGAAACAGCTCATCTTCCCTAGTCTTCTTGGAACAACTCTTCCCTCTAACACTTGAATAAATAATCTTCCTTTGCCTCTGAAGTGATTTGGGCCTGCACATGTGGCAGTGTCAGAAGAGAAAAGGAGCCATATGCAGAAGATGTTAGGAAGGTAGAGATAACAAAAGTTGGCCCGTGATTGTATATAGGGCTTAAGAAAGAGTGAAGAGTAGAGGATAATCCTAGGCTGTGAACCTGGGAGGATGATGGTATCCTGGGGAAGTTAGGAAGAGTTTGAGAAGAAAGAAAATTAGTTAAGTTTTGACCATGTTGAGTTTAAGATGACTACCGGATCTCAGGTATGAGATATTTAATAAGCAGTTCAATATTTAAGACTGGAGGTCAAGAGAGAGGGCAGGGTAGTATGTCTGCATAGAGATGGTAATTGAATCCATGAAGGCTGATGAAATCAACAAGCAAAATAACATACAGGGAGAAGCTAAGAGGGTCCAGAACAGAGCCTCGGGAGACACACATGGTTAATGGGCATGGCCTGGTTGAGGAACCAGCAAAAGAATCTAAGAAGGAGCAGCCTCATAGGTCAGAAAACTAGGAGAGAACAGTATCAGGAAAACCTATAGAAGAGAATATCAAGGAAAAGAGAGTGATGAGCATCAAAAGTTGCAGAGACTTCAAGAAAAATGAGAATTGAGAAAATCCCATTAGACTTGGCACTTAAGAGATCATTGATAACTTTGAAGAGTACAGTTTCAGTTTTGGGGTTGGAAACCCTACTGTAGAGAGTTGAGAAAAGAGTGAGAGGAAAGTAAATGGTGACATTGCTAATGACCTGCTTAAGTAGATTAGCCATTTAAGGGAGAACAATATAGGAGCTAGTTAGTGGGGATGAAGATAAATGGATCAAGTGAGGGATTTTTAAGGATGAGAGAGACATGTGCTTGTTCAGTACTAAGCAGTTAGGAGAGAGAGACAGAGATGGAAGATTAGTGAGAGAACAGATTATTGAGGAGGCAATAATGCTAGAGAGATGGGATGGAATGAATAACTTGTGCTTGTAAAGGGGTTTTCCTTATGAAATAGAAGGACCTCCTCTTCAAGAACAGGTGAAGGAAGAGATGGTGGAAGGAATCTGAGTGATGTGAGATGAGGACGGAAGAAGAGGCAGCTGTCAGTTAATGGTCTTAAATTTTTCGGTGAAATATGAGGCAAGTCAAACAACTGAATGGGTGGGAATAGGGGGGCTATGGGAAGTTTTGAGGGGGAAAAAAGGTTTGCATAAGCCACTGCAGTTAGTGCAATACCGAATCAATTAAAGACGTATAGAAGGATTGCCTTGCCACAGTGAGAGCCCAGTTGAGATTACGAAACTTAAATTTGAAGCATTCCCACTCAGCACAATTTTGTTAACTTCTCCAGCTTTGTTCAACAACATGTGAATAGGAGTGAAGGCAGTGAATGGTGGAGTAATCCAAGCCTGGGGTTTGCCAGGGCAAGATCTTCAATAGAGTAAGGGGGCAAGGAACTCCAGATATCTGGTTCACCAAGAAGACACGATGGCGAAGGGAAGAGAGTGTAGCCAGTATAAGGGTAATGGCTTGAGAAAGAGCAGAGGGGTAGGGGAATTAGAGTGAGTATGAAAATGAGTATGAAAAATAGTTTGTAGTTGTGAAGGAGAGCAGAAGTGACAATGGATCATGGTCAGATAAAGGAATTTCAGAGTTCATAAACCATGGATGTGGAACACTTGAGGGTGAGGGCAAGATTAAGGGTATTTATTAGCATATGTATGTGTGGCTGAGGTGGGGTGAAGGAATGGGTCATGGGAAATGACTAAGTTGATGAATTTGGTGGCTTAGAGTGTTTGAGGGAGTATCAGTTTATGTTAAAAATCTAGTATGAGGGCATGAGGTGGGGAGGAGAAGAAGACCGTGTGAACCAGTCACTCAGTTTGTTGAGGAAGAAATGAGACTGTCATGGAGATGTGTAAACAATTCTCATATCCTAATTGAGTGATTAACATGGACTGACTGAACCTCAAAGGGGGAGCAGTTACTAAGTCATAGTGATAGAGGGAAAGCCTGATAATGGCAGTTGGGAGCAAGGAGTATTCGAGCTCACCCACCTTGACCAGTGATTTTGGTATATGAACAAAAGTGCAATTAGTGCTGGAAAAGGTAGCCAGGGAACTGTGTCATCAGGAGGGAGTCAGGTCCCAGTATAAATACAAGAAAACAGAATGAAAAGATTCAAGTTAAGATGAAAGCTAGTTTGTAACCTCTGAAGCGCATTCCCAGGCACAAGGGAAGGTTGGGTAGCTTTAGAGTGGGCATTTTGGGGGCTGGGTTGAGGGGGTGGGAATAAAGGAGCAGTCTTTGGGTGGCAGAGAACAGAGTTTTAACAATGGCAGCCAGACATTCAGAATTACCAGGGTGGGGAGGGTAAGATAGGGTGGAAATATGTTTATCGTTGAGCTAAGGTCAGGTAGGCTTTCATTGTCTTTAGGGGTTCAGCCTGGGAGTGGAGTTGTCCCAGGCCTTCAGGCCTTTGGGGAGTATGTAAAGGGGGGTGAAACATGGAGTTTTCCTGGTAGGGGCAAGACAGTGGTTATGGAGATCTAGACTACCAGAGAGAATGCCTGGAACACAATGGAATAATTGTTCAGGGAAGCAGATGCAGGTAAGGCCACTACAGGTAGAGCTGTAGACGGCCAGAGAAGGTGAAGACAGTAAGGAGTAGTGGAAAGAGCTCTAGGTTTAGAATCAGAGATGTGAGTTTGAATCTTGCGTATACTGCCTGTGTGACTGATAGCAAATCACTTCACCTTCCTTGCTTTCACTTTCTTCATGTATAAAATATGCAAGGTACACCTCTAAGCTCACTCCCAATTTCATATCCCATGAATTAATTGGCAAGATTTAGTAATCTGACTTTTAAAGTATCCAGACCACACCCAACACAAGTTAAATAAAATTAAACCATTCAAACTAATATGGTAGGTAACTGTAAGCAGATTTTTTTTTTCTGCAGTGGGCTCAATAAGTCCCATCTTCTATTTCAGGAAAAGATGAAGGGTAAGAATAAATTGGTCCCCCGATTGCTGGGCATCACTAAGGACTCAGTGATGCGAGTGGATGAAAAGACCAAGGAAGTCTTGCAAGAGTGGCCCCTTACTACCGTCAAGCGCTGGGCAGCATCGCCCAAGAGCTTTACTCTGGTACAGTGTCAGGATGGGGAGGTATGGGGATAGGCAGGGCAGAGGGCAAAGGTGGGCCTTATGGTTTTATTTGTTATGACCTTTAATTACTTACTCACCTCAGAAAAGCAAGGAGAACGTGGCTGGGTGGAGTGGTTTGGGGTTGATTGAATCATGTTATTATAGAAACATGAAAATGTTGACAGTAGTCCATCTTTTCACAACTATTATCCATTAGTATATGCTTCTATGTAACTAAATTCAACAAACTTTTTTTAGAAACCTACTCTATATAATCATTTATCATAGTACTTAACCATAGGTACTTAAATACTACTGTGTCATCCTTCCTTGAATCTATATATACCTTCCAATTAATGCTATGGACGAAGAGGAGTTAAGAGAAGAAAAAGCCAATAGTTATCTATATTGGTCATTTGTTCATATCATTATTTAATTGGAAACCTCCCCTCCACTTACTTCATACAGTACTGGACCATAGTAGCCCTAGATGGATGTGCATTTTTAAAAATCCATAAATTTTTTAAAAATAAAAGTTACATTAAAACTGGTATGTCTGTTGTCTTTCTGGTTCCATCTTCTGTTTTCCTGGTTCTTAAAAATTGGTGTTGATTTTTTAAAATTTCTATTAATACTGTTTTCTTTAGGATTTTGGGGAGTATCAGGAAAGTTATTATTCAGTACAAACAACTGAAGGAGAACAGATATCTCAACTGATTGCAGGCTATATTGACATCATCCTCAAGAAGGTATTTACTAATTGATTTGATTAGAAAAATGGCTTTGAATGTTTTGTTATGTTGTTCTCACACCTAACTCTTCTGGGGTGACTGGGTCAAGGATTCATTCATTTGACTTTCTGGAATTTTGTTTTCTGTCCTCCAGAAACAAAGTAAAGATAGATTTGGATTAGAGGGAGATGAGGAGTCAACGATGTTAGAAGAATCTGTTTCCCCTAAAAAGTAAGTGTTTTGTTCTTGGAGGAAAGAGTTGCTTTTTAACAGAAAGGGGTACAATTATTCCTATTGGATTCCTATCCAATTATTCCTATCAGATGGGGATATCTTGTATTGAATTCTAGTCACACTAAATAACTCATTTATATGGCATGAATGATGTTAAACAGAAAGTGAAATCCTGGCTCAGATTACAGAGAATACGGTGAATTAACATGTTCTGATACAGCAGGAGTTGTATTCTCATGCTAGCTTCCCCCAGACGTTACCTTTATTGTAGGAAATTGATTAGAGAATCAGGATTAGAAAGCACTTTAGGGGCCTCTACTCCAACCCCCTCATTTTACAGAAGAGAAACTTATAAAGGGTCCAGAAAGAGTAAAAGACTTGCCCAAGGTCATATAGATGTAAGTTGCAAAGCCAAGAATGGAACCACATCCAGTGCTCTTTCCCCTCTACCAGGTGGCAGAGCATATAGCCTCTCCTGAACCCAATCAGATTTTGTCAGTAGAACCTAAGTAGGCCCGTACTGGCACCCAGGAATCAGGTGAGAAACCTTCATCACCTCAGAAACGCAGATACCACAACTGTCTTCATGCTTGTCCCCCAAAAGTAAGGAAAGCACAGAAATGCCATTCACGGTGGACAAACCCAGGGTCCTTAATCTCTGGGACTATGCAAGTCATCTGTATCACCTGACACCACCCTTAGCCTCAAATTCTTTGCTCCCTGCAGAGTATTATGGCCAATCTGTCAAGAATACAGTAGTAGCCTTCCTTCTATCCTCTTTCCTTTAATACTTTACATAACTTAAACCTTGGGTAGAAGCACCTATTGCTTCACTGTTCCCACATCCCCAGGACTATAAAAGCCTCTTAGGAAAATTCCTGTCACACTGTGATAGTGACAAGTGTACTCTCCCACTGTCCCCCAGTCACCTGTTCTCACTTACTTAATTACTTACTTAACTTACTTCTCACTCTGTTCCCTAGACAGACATGTTAAGGCAACAGGTCATAATGGTGTCCAGTCAGAGCTATGTTCCAAATCCTTTCTCTGACACTTAACTGGTGGTATGAGCCTTTACCATGCCTCATGTGTGAGGATGTGAGCACTGAGTTTGGAACATTTGCAAATAATAATCATTGTGGTCTTCATTGACATTGGTGAGGCAGCTTAAGAGATGATTGCCTGCCTGCTAGCGAATAAAAGTTTAAAAGTTTGCATTTTTCTTGCTGTGCTTTTCTTTTTTTCTCATTAATGAAGAGAAGTAATCTGATTTTAGGATTTGAAAATAGACATCTGCTGTTTAGAGTGCACAGGAAGCCATGTGGCTTTTGTACATGATTACACAGGCTGTCTTTCCATTGTTCATTGGTTGAACTCACTGTGCACCAGATTCAGTTCTCCCATTCCCTGTAAATGTCCGTTGTACCTGATTTGCCTCAGGGTATCATCTAAGGAAATGAAAACAGTCTAGACCATTTCGCCATAATTACTAGTACTGGCAGTTGGTAATGTAGAGACTGCTGTGCAGTGATGGAGATGGGCAGGGGATTTCATTTTGGAGGAACAGAGCCACTGGATAGCCTTCTTCTTTGTTCACATTTATCTTGTTAATTAGGTTGGTATCAAAATAATGGCTACTAAGTGAGCTTCCACATGCATTATTACTGGAGGGAGGAACTTGGATATCTGTGGCTTTTTTATCCAATAAAGCCTTTTTAAAAATTATCAAATATCTGTTTTATTTAATGGATCTCTGTGTAGCACCTGGCCCAATGTGTATTTTTTTTCCCAGTGGGCCATAACCAAGTTATAATAATGTTTTCTATTGTTTTTCCCCAACTCCTGTCCTTTGCCCGCCTTGTTCTTCCTTTCTAACATGCTCTCAGAGTTATTTTATGATTGTTCCCAAGTATTAGTGCTGAAGTTGGAATTAAATCTGTTGTGAAAAAAGTTTTTGCCTGACCTGTGGCAAAAGTACTATAAATTCTTGGAATTAGAAGTGACCAGCAAATGTAAATGAGCAGATTCACTGCTGGTATTTATTAAGATGATGTATATTGGTAGGGAAGGAGCTCGCTTCAGGTAACCCTGGCCATTATCTCTTAGCATCCCCCACATCAGTCAGTATATCTTAGCATTCCGACCTGAGCAGTGTCCTTAAAGGACCACCATGTCTAAAAATCCCACCACCATTGCACCCCTGTCTCATTGGCCTTAGGAGGGAACTCTTTGATGTGGACACCTGAGGAAAGGGAAGATGCATCTAGAAACACCCATAGACTAGCCCCTTTTTCTTTTTCCTTTATGCTCGATAGAGAGGAGCAGGGGTTCAGACTCCATCTGTTAGGCTAAAGGGATCTTGTCTACTGCTTTTTGCTAACCCATCTCATAACCACCTTGTTTTCCTTGCCCCAATTCAGCTTCATCAAAGAGGGAGAGATCCCCTTGCTTGAGAACCCTTGAGTACTCCCACTCCCAGAGAGTGAACTTTGATGGTGTGAGAGCTTCTCACTGGGTAGTAGGGTCTATCTCAGTTACATCTGATCAGTCCACAAGGGCCTACACACAGAGTGGGCACTGTGACTCCTGAATGTGGCCCAGTTTTGGATGACCAAATTCCTAACTTGCTTTTTACTCAGTGAAAAACAACATAATGATGTTATGCTGTGTTCAATGAGATTTTTTGATATGGAAATTCCAAAGCAGGGCATGTTATAAAGTCTTCACTTGACAACTCAGCATTGTCCTCTGATTTATTCATTGTTCTTTGGTCTTCCATTTTATTTTCTTTTTAACTAAGTCTATTGTTTTCAAGTTGAATATGTAGCATTCACCAAAAGACAAAATATGACACACACCAACTCACGGAGACTGCCAACATGTTACAAATGGACTGTACCTGTATGTGAGGAACCCACATATATAAAAATATGAAAGTTGTAATAGATAAAGTAAGAGGTGATTATTTGTATTTCTGAGATAGATTTTCCATAGAATTGACATAGCTTTCTCCATGTGAACTACTACCCTCATTACATTCAAAAGTACAATTCAATTTACTGAAATTTAGTTGGCATGAAACTTTTTTTCAGGAAGATATTTATTGTTTGAGGCAAGATATGCTGTCGTATTTAATTTTATTTTATTACTTAGAAGTAAACTATGTTCTACATAGGTGGCTATCTGACAGAAACTAAACAGTTCAAAATTTCTTCCCCAGGTCCACCATCCTACAGCAGCAATTCAACCGAACAGGGAAGGTAGAACATGGCTCTGTGGCGTTGCCAGCTGTCATGCGCTCTGGTTCCAGTGGACCAGAAACTTTCAACATTGGCAGTATGCCCTCCCCCCAGCAGCAGGTCATGGTTGGCCAGATGCATCGAGGACACATGCCTCCATTGGTAAGCCTTTCATTGAAGTTTCCTTGATCATCCATGTCCTCTCTTTCTCCTTCAGAGATAACCAGTAGGACATCAATCAATAAACAGTTATTAAATGCTTACTATGGCTCAGGCCCTGAGAATAAGCCCTAGTGATACAAACAGGAAACAAAAATAATACCTTTCCTCAAGGATCTTGCATTTTAACGGAGGAGTACGTCTGTGCAAGATAGCTGCAGACTTTATATATGGTAACCATATAGAAGACACTGGCATCTGGAGGGATGCAGAAAGTGGTGTTTGGGCTGTGCCTTGAAGGAAGACGTGTACATTATTTTGTTGTTTGGGATTGGGTGTTTTTTCACACACCCCCCAATAATATTGATTAGTTGTGCTAAGCTATACATATTCAGTCATATGGCCCCACATGTGAAACCAGCCTCCTGGACTTCAGCAGTAGTTGCTGAGAATGTTCAGAAGTGGATATGCTCAAGGCTTACCTATTTTGCTTGTGAAAGTGTCAAACTCATGACTTTGTCTCGAATAGAAATGTACTTTAACCAAATTACTTAATTGTTCCAAATCCTGTTCAGCAAATTGTTACAGAGAAACATCTTGGTGTAGTGGATAGAGAGGTAGCTTTGGTGTTAGAGGATGACCTGGATTCATTCCCTCTTCTGACACATACTGACTGTGTTTTCAAAATATTGTTTATTAAAGCAACTCACTTTAACCTCTTGATACTCCAGGCCACTCTCTAAACTAGAAATGTCAGAACAGTTGCTGATCTGTGTTGCTAGAAGGTGTGTGTCCTTCCTATTCTCTTAAAATCATGAATCTGTAGTAAAAACAAAACAAAACCTGTTATTCCATAAGCTTGAGTATAGACTTTCAGCTGAAGGTAATACATGACTACAGAGGAATCCAACAGACAATACATATGGATTTCCACAAATATTGCCCTGATCTTTAAAATAAATACCTACTTGAGCCCACCTTGCCAATCAGTTTTATGAGGTGACCTACACTATTGGACAAGGGATTTCCAAAGCCTATAGAAAGGAAAGCAATTGGCCCCTGCCAAGGACTGTTGATACTTTCAGTACTGGATTTGGTTAAAATTCAATTCAATAATCATTTATTTTAACCCCTCCTGTGTACAAGACACTGGGAAGTCCAAAGTCACATAAAACACATTCTGTTCTTTAGAAGCTTATATGTATTGTAATATGGGAGAGAAGACATGTATACCAAAGTTCTATTATAAAATAGAATATGTTTCATTCATAGAACAGGCAGAAACCAAATGCTGTAAGAGATTGAAGGAGGGGGAAAAAAGGCATCTGTCTGCCCAGGGAAAGTAAGGAAAGCCACGATGTGGCATTATAGTTGAGCCTTTAAGGTTAGGTCAGATATCAACATTCAGATATTTGGAGCCAGAAATGGCAGGGGGAGGAAGGTATCTCATGAGTTGGGATAGCTAGAAATGCAGAGAAGTAGAAGAGGGATGGAGAAGAAATAGTGAAAATCCCAGTGATGAAATAGGCAAAACTGAGTTTAACCTGATAGGGGCTACAAGATAGTAGTAGTAGCTAACATTTATGACATACTTTAAGATTTATATGGTGCTTTACATATATGATCTTATTTGAGCTTCACAGCTACCTGGTAAGGTAAATGCTGTTATGATTTCCATTTTATCGATGGGGAAACTGAGACTTAGACAGATTAAATGACTTGTCCATGGTTGTACAACTACTAAGCACCTGAGGAAAGATTTGAATTTGGCTCTTCCTGATTCCAAGTCCGGTGCTCCATCCATTGCACCATCTCACTACCCAACATTCCAATTAAGAACTGTTAAAAATTCCTCCCTAGTTTTTAGAGTCTTCTATGCAAAGCCCCAAGACATGCCAAAATTTAGAAAGACGTGGAGTTTTGTCAGAACTGTATGACTTTATCTACAAAAGGAGATTTTTTTTCTGTTGGAATTCCCCATGTCCATTTGTTTTCCCAGACGTCGGCCCAGCAGGCTCTGATGGGAACAATTAATTCCAGCATGCATGCGGTTCAGCAAGCTCAGGCGGACCTCAGTGAAGTTGATAACCTACCACCTCTCGGGCAGGATATGGTGAGTGTTTTCTGTAAGTCTTTCAGCACATCTCAGATCCCACAGAAGGCCAGATGATTTATCGCATGTGAAATTTGGCACTGGGAAAGATTATGGTTTGGACTCTCTTGACTAGTCATTGTTTCCTAACTGAACCTTCAGGAACTGATACAATTTTATGGATAAATGGAATCCTGAGATTCCAGGATTGTACAGTGTCCGAGCTGGAAAGGACTTTCACACCCAGCTAGTCCAACCCTATCACTTAACAGAAAGGAAACTGAGGCCCAGATAGTTGAAATGGTTTGTCCAGCATCACACCAGACCATCTCACCTCTCTGCTTAGTGATCTCTAGTGGCTTCCTGTTACTTCCGGATCAATTATAAATTCTTCTCTTTGGCATTTAGAACTCTGTATGACTTGGTCCCCTCCTAAATTTCCTATATTCTTACACCCCAATCCCCTCACACACTCTATAATCCAGCTACACTGTCCTTTTTGTAGCTTCTCAGACAAAGCACTCCATCTCCTATTTTTATGCATTTTCATCGGCACTATCTTCTACCTCGCTTGTTCTTTTCCCTCATTGCGACCTATTAATTTTCCCATGTTCCTTCAAGTCCCATTTTAAATTCTGCTTTATGCAGTTAGCCTTTCCTATTGCCATCCCTAGCCACTAATATCTTCCCCTTTCATATTACCTTCCATCTACTCGTGTGTGTGTGTGTGTGTGTGTGTGTGTGTGTGTGTGTGTGTGTGTGTTTTCATGCTGGTCCATCCATTAGAATGTAAACTCCTAGAGAGGAGAGATTTTTTTTTTTTACCATTCTTTGTACCCTTAGTACTTAGCCACAGTGCCTGACACATAGTCAGTACTTACTAAATGTTTGTTGCCTGACTGATTAGCAAGTTAGTAAGTGTCAGAGACAGGGATAGAATCCAGATTTCCTGAATCCAAGTCTAGTGCCCTTTCTAGTTTACCATATTGTTTGATGGTGATAGCCTTGGGGACCATAGTAGAAAACAAAACTTCAGCAGGCACAAACAGTGAGTGCTAGCTGAACTCCTATACATCATTTGGGATATTTGCATATTGATATCATGAAAATGCTGTTTGGATCTCTTTAACGTTAGATGGCACCACTGTCAGCTACACAAGATGGGGCTCGGTAGCGATAGACATTCAGTGGTGTTCTTGAGCCAAGAAAAATATTCTTCTAGTTCTGGTTATCTGTCCTGTTGCCTTTAGTTCTAGGTCATTAGAGTACCATAACTTATTGACATTTTACTTTTTAGACTATGGCTCAAGAAAAGTATATATTTATGCTCTCTTTAGATCTAGCATGACTGGAGAATAGCATCTTCTCAGATATTCTGAATAAAGAAACACTACTCTGGCCATCAGATTTCAAATAATTACAAGCAGATTTCCTAGTAGACCCATATCGCACCTACTGTAATCTCACTCTGATGTAATCACAAATTACAAGGAAGATTAGAAGGCACTTCAGGATCTTACAGGGCCTCAGGAGAATCATTCTGATGTTCACTTCCCATATATAGTAAAACACGGAAGAGACAGTTCAATATAAATTTCCAATATCTTAGGGTCTTAAAATTTAAGAATTGGCATGGACCTTAAAACGCATCTAGTCCCCTTTCCTTTCTTTGATCGAACAGGAGCTCAAGCCTAGAAGGATGAAATTATTTTTCTGAAGGTCATTCTACTAGCTAATGACATGGATATGACTAAAAGACCCAAGGTTTTTTCTAAATGTCAGATAGAGGAGAACCTACGATATCTACCCATGTATATCATCCATAGTATAATGGAGGGAGCCCCAGAGTAAGGAAGACATGGCTTCAGCCCCTGTCACTGATACATTCTGGCTCCATGACCATGAGTGAGTGACCTGACCTCTCTGTATCTCTGGCAACTCTAGAAGTCTACGATTTCCAGAAGAGTTGCCCATCTCCATCACTGGAGGGAGTTTTCACACCGGGAGTTCCCTATACCAATGAAATCACAGATCTCAGAACTAAAAAACACTTGTTTTATTTGCTACAACTATCGCTTCTAAATATATCCAAATTTTTAGAAAGATAGCCCTTGTCCTGAGAAGAGAACACTGGTAAACTGTAGCCCTACAGAACAGAAAAGGGAATGACTACTAACTGATATTGTCAATGTCATGAAACCAAATAGCTTTTTTTTTTTCCCCCACTAGGTTCAGGACTTAAACTTGATCTGACTGAATAAGGTCATCAGGCCTTTCATTGCAGGGATTTTTAAAGTAAAGAGAATAGTAGTAATGGTTTTTAATGAAACAACCAGGAAAACAAAGACTTCTTCATAACCAGCATCTAGGAAAAAGTAAAAGGCACATTAGAGAAAATTATTTAAGTAAACTTAAATGCCTCATTGGCTCCCTTTGCTTTGTTTAAGAAGTTTTGGGTTTTGCTTTGTTTTAAATGAGAAGTGTTGGCTCCTGTCCTCTGGGAGTAGGCTCTTTTGTTCCTCCTTTAATTTGGCATGTAATTGACATTCTTTTGGGTGATTTTCTTATTTTGCAGGCCTCTAGGGTGTGGGTTCAGAACAAAGTCGATGAATCAAAACACGAAATCCACTCTCAGGTTGATGCTATCACGGCTGGAACAGCTTCAGTTGTTAACCTCACAGCTGGTGAGTCATTGGGATAGAGATTTGTGGAGTGCTACAGTGTTTCCCCCACTACCCTTTGATTGAAAAAACAGATTTCCATGATGTGGGGGAAACTGTCTATATTTATACATTACCAGATTTGCTTCAACCCACTCACTTTCTCCAGTAGGACCCTGGAGATCTTGAAAAAAGACTTGGTCCCATTTCAACCACATCATGCATCATGTGAAAGCACATAAAAACCCCTTTCTCCCCATGGCAATATGCTAAACATTGTATAAAGTATGTTAAGACAGGATCTCCCTTCTTAGTGCTTATAGCTCTCAAGAGGGAGAGTTAGTTATACCATGGATGGATCCATCTTGTCTCTCTTTCTCTGAAGCATAAAGTAACACTGTCTTTAAGGGCAAAAGTTATTAGAGAATCAGACCTTGTCCTATCAGGGAAGTGAAAGGGAAACTGACCCAGAAAATCTGCTTTCTATCATGCAGGTCTCATTTACATTATATTATGTTTAAAGCAATAAGAGTTAAACTCCCTATGTACCAGATGGGGCCATAACCGCAAATGCCATAAAATGTTGAAATTCCCTTTGGTGATTTAAAAGTTATTTTATTTAAGCAGTGAGTGTGACTAAGAAGGCCATCCAGATGGACTGTCCTTTCTTAAATGTACTTTCAATGATAAGGAGTTCATACTATCACTGTCATATGCCTCTACCTCATAGATCTCTTTTTCTTCAAGATGCAGTGCAAGCAAATCCCTTTTCCATGAAACTTATCCTTCCACCTGTTAGGATTCTCTTTCACAGACTGTTTCGTAGTTATTTTCTTCATATTTTTTCTGTATATGCTTTTATCTGTATTTTACCTTCCCATTATCTATATTTTATCTTCCCATTCCAATGTCAGCTCCTTCAGAATAGGCATTTTTTCCTTTTTTTTGTCTTTGTAATTCTGGTGTCTAATCCAGTTAAGTGGCCAATGGTAAGCACTCAATAAATGTTCGTTTATTGATCGAGGTCAGTGTTGCTTCAAAAAATCAATTAAAAAAGCTTTGTTAAGTATCTACTAAGGCATTGTGCTGAATTCTAGGGATGCAGATACAAAATGAAAATCCTTGTGTTCAAGAAATTTATACTATATTGGAAGAAACAACATGGGTGTATTTGTATGCACATATACACATATACATATGTATGTATGCCTATGGGGGGGTGTGTGTGTGTGTGTGTGTGTTCAAGTAAATACAAGATAATTTCAAGAGGAGGGGTTACTAGCAACTGGGGGATCTGTATGTACTTTTTGTAGAATAAAACTTGAGCTTCATAAGAAACCTGGAATTCCAGGAGGCAAAGATGTGGAAGGAGTGCATCCCAAGCATGAGGTATAGTTCGTGCAAGGGCAGGGGTGGAATGATAGATAGTCATAGGTACCAAACACCACGAAGACCAGTTTGACTCGACCATAGAGTGTGTGAAGGCGAATAATGTGTAATAAACCTGAGGAGGTTCATTGTGTTAGGTTGGCCTTGCCGGTCCAGCTGTGTAATAAGATTGATTTATCTGTTTTGTTCCTTTATTTTTGGCAATTAACCTGGAGACCAAAACAGGTTTGATAGAATTACTCTGAGTTGTTCTTACCCTTCAGGGTGTTAGCATCCAACCAACCTGCTGTCCCTTTCTCCTTCTTCTGCCTCAGGTGACCCGGCAGACACAGATTATACCGCTGTGGGCTGTGCAATCACAACCATCTCTTCCAACTTGACGGAAATGTCCAAGGGTGTGAAGCTCCTGGCAGCCCTCATGGATGATGACGTGGGCAGTGGAGAAGACCTACTGAGAGCTGCTCGGACGTTAGCCGGGGCAGTGTCAGATTTGTTAAAGGCTGTGCAGCCTACTTCTGGAGAGGTAAACATTTGAAAAAAGAGTTGTGTGAAGAGGATGGCATCCTTTGAGGAGATAACTTTTGCTCTCTGGCCCCTTGTTTTGTCCACCCAGAGGAGTTGGATGCAAATCCCACCTCTTATGTTACTTGTGGGATCTTGTGAAAACGTCTTCCTCTTCCTGAGCCTCAGTTTCCTATTTGCAAAAAGAGGAAATTGAATTAGTTCGCCTCTAAGATCCTTCCTGTTTCTAGATCTGTGATCTTGTAAGTTTCACCTTTATTGGATGTTTTAGTCACTTCATGGTAGAGTTTTGCAAATTAATGAGGAAATGGTGGAGATTTTGAGGGTGAGTTTTTTTTTAGTTTTGTGGAATTGAGCTAGTTCTCATGGGCTACTACTTTTGCATTAAGTGACTTGGAAGGAATACTTTACTAAGATATAGCCCCATTGACCTCCAAAAGGCACCATATATTTAAAGGTTTAAGTACTTTGGACCCTTATTTACTTGAAGTGAGCACTACTTTGTTAACTGGGCTTTGCCCATCTTGTGAAAATTTTAGCTCCATTTATTCACATCACTGACTTTCCATCCTGGTCTGTAAGATCTGTAAGTTCTTCAGATAGAAACAGTGACTATATTACCTGTGCTTCTTGCATTCTATACTAACTTTAGACATTTATATTCAGATCTTTGGGGAAATCCCGCTGGTTTCCCTGTATCTGAAAGAATCTATATCTGCCATTACTGGGCTTTTTTGGTGAACAAGTGTTCTTTTCCAACTCAAAGTTGTTTTGTTGTTGTTTTTTAAACGATTATAGCCTCGACAGACTGTGTTGACTGCCGCCGGAAGTATTGGTCAAGCCAGCGGGGATCTTTTGAGACAGATTGGAGAGAATGAAACAGATGAGCGATTCCAAGTAAGAATTAAATTCAAATTCCCACCAGAACCAAAAGCCTTAATTCCCTGCAAATTGCTCCCACCCCCAAATGAAAGCCTAAGTAGCAATACATACAAGAACAAGATAAAGTAACAAAACTAAAACCCACTTCCCCCACCCCTGCCTCAAACAGAGTTAAAGCAAAGACTAGAAGATTGAGAAAATGCATCTTTTTGAGACCAGGTCAGGGAACTTTTTAGTCACTTATGTGTGTGTTGATTTCTATTTAAACTGGCTCAAAAAAGAAAGTTCTGTGCTGTGTGCAAAGTTCAATATTCTCCTTAGGTACCACTCAGGACCTGGTTTCCCTTTTGCCTTCTCTGTTCTCTCTTTGACAAACCACTTTCTCCTGAGGTGATCCTGCAGACATTGACCACAAAGCTGTGAGATGAAGTTCACTGTGCTTGTCTTGGACATGTGTGTGTATCTGTGAGTGTATGCTTCTTTGATATTGTGATGGCTTCCTGATCTTCTCAGTATGGCTATTATTTCTAGTAGTTCAGTTTTTATCCCATTTCTTGTAGATGAATGAACACACACACACACACACACACACACACACACACACACACACACACA